CAAGAAAATGTCCGGCACGGTGTCCAAGCATGTGACGGTGGTGGGGGAGCTGTCACGATTGGTCAGCGAGCGCCACCTGATGGAGGTCTCGGAGGCGGAGCAAGAGCTGGCCTGTCAGAACGACCACTCCACTGCCCTGCAGGTAAGAGGGATTCCTTCATTGGTGGAATTAGAATGCATGACTTTATCTCTCCTCCAGTCAGCAAGCTGCTTTGCATTAGAGCGATGCCTCGATTGGCTGTGCAGAGAATTACAGGGGGGGGGCTACGTCTGTTCCCTGTGTGTGTTGTAGTCACCGCTCTAAGCTCCTCCCACCCCCCGGGTGGACTACAATCTCATGTTTAGTTTACTGATTTGTATTGGGATTGTAGTCCATCCCGGGGGGTGGGAGGAGCTTAGAGCGGTGACTACAACACACACACAGGGACCATGGGGAACAGACGTAGTCACCCCTCCAGCAGGAAGGACGGTGTCAGAGATGATTGGAGGATCCTCAGCCGTGTCACGCCTATAAGGACCGGTTCGGGGACTGGGAGGGATTTTTATCTCCGGAGTTTGGTGTCACGTTTGATCGTCTGTTCCATCCCAGTGCTGCTGATCTCCTTTGCAGCCACTTCCTGTCTACGTGACCCCAGCGATGGCTGCGTGACATTTCCCAGGGTGGGGGATTCCTGATGGGTGACAACAGAGGACCGCGCCTGTGTGATGAAATGGTCACTTTGTAGCCCCCATTGGAAGCCTGTGGGGGGGGGTGACAGAGTGCCATGGCTGAGCGCGGGATCCCGAGGGCTGAGCGCGGGATCCCGAGGGCTGAGCGCGGGATCCCGAGGGCTGAGCGCGGGATCCCGAGGGCTGAGCGCGGGATCCCGAGGGCTGAGCGCGGGATCCCGAGGGCTGAGCGCGGGATCATGTGACGGGGGAAGATGTGTCGTGTCAGCCGCAGACGTGTACTGCTCCCGCTCTACCCCTAGAGGGCGCCCCCGCATCATCCAGCTCTGGGCGCTCCGGTCGCCTGATTTTGTATTTTTGGGGATGAAAACTTTCAAATTCATTTCCAGCGCCGCGTTCTCTCACATCAACAAAGCTCGACCCGCGGGGGCGCGGGGGACACGCCATGGTTCTGTATGTGCCGTGTTCACACCACACGTGTAAATGCAGCAAGTCCACACGTCTACAACGCACATCAACATACCGCAGCGCATGAAGTGATTTGTGTCATTTATAAGTACAGCCGCGTGATGGGTTGTCACCAGGGACGCACCGGCACCGGTATTTTGGTACCGATCGGTTTTTTTTTTCGGTACTCGCCGATACCGATTACCGGAAGTCCCCATTCAGGAAGCCGGGTGGCGCGTGATGACTTCCCCATTAACAAGAAAGTCCCCTCTCACCTTAGTATGTGCAGCCCGTCA